AATATATATATTATTATTCTCTATTGACTGTAGAAAAAGTAATAAATAATTGATTCACAACTTGTTATTCTTTAATGTTTCTAAAATTCAGGATAAGCAGTTATTTTCGTCTTTAAATGTTGACATTCATTCACATCTTGATTGTCATAGATCTAGTTTTGACTAGACACATTCATTGCTTATAATTATTTTAACTTTAGATAAGTATATTTAATAACTCGAACAGCAGTAAAAATTTAATTATATTTAATAATTTATATATAGTATTGTGAATTGCTGCTTATTAAAATTTTAGAACAATTAATATTATTCAGAACAATGTATTGAACTTCCTCTTAGTCATTTTCTTTATAAGTGTGTGTATTTTATCAGTTTTATCTTCCAATATTCTAAGTTCTTGTTAGACAATTTTATTTCTTTACTAAACTAGAAACTCACTAATACAGTAGTATAAATTATGAGTATTAAAAGGGTGTTAATTAAACAGAAATCAATTATTGAGTGTTATGAAAACTGTATTACTTTATAATGACTCCATACTTATCCAGTTTAATCTATTTTCAGGATCCAGTTTCTCAAAATAATTATTGATTGGATATAAATTAAAGATCTAAGTTTTAGATAAATGCTTGAGAAAGAAATAATAATAATAATAACATTTCATTAAAGCATGAGAACTTTACCATTTTATTAATATGAATACTGTATCCCTCTCTTTTAATAATTGACACTGATTGATACTCTAACACATTGAAACTAGAGTTTAATTTTAAAATTAAATCCCTGTATCATTTAATATGATACCCAGTATCCAATTCAATATCTAATAATATACAGTAGTGTATAGATATTTTATGAGTTAAGTAGAATCTAAAAATCAATAACACAAAATAAGAACTGTCCTTTCTTTAAAATAGGTTATATCAACATAATAAGATAGAAGACAAAGAATGAACGACTAGTCAATTATTGTAGAATTAATAGAAGACGAATAATTGTTTTTCTTTCATAAAAGAGTTTCAATGAATAGAGGTCTTAAATATCGTGCGCTAAAAATTTTTTTCTGAACCCATAATGAATGAGAAAGACTTCCCTTTATTTATGGGCTAGCCGCACAAACATGTCACGAACAAAACAAGTAAGGAAACTAGATAAATGCTGTAAACTAAATTGTCAGATAACTTTTCGTTCGACCCTAAATATTTTTCTTGACAGTTCATAAGACATTTTTTATTCACATTTTTTTCATAGAATTCATTGAATTTTTAACGCGCTCGTTTTTGCTTCTAAATAACAATAATTATTTATTTAAGTTCTTTTTAAATTAGATGGAATTAAGAAAATATGACTATTTTATTTAATATTTTTCGAATATATAATAAAAATAATTTAAATAAAATATTAATATAAGTATTGACATTTTCTTTGTATATGTTTATTATAAAAGTAAAACAAATTTAAATCAATTATTTTTTCTACGTCTATTTTGAAATATTTCTATTAATGTAGATAAAATATGTTCATCTTAGGTAACTTTTATATAGGACTATAAGTAATATCCATGAAAAAAAATATCTTTTAATAACACATATTAATAATTACGTATTAAAAATTAACAAAATAGAAAATATGAAGTGTACTTTACGGCTCTAAATAAGTTAGAAATTAATATTATTTTCTCCAGAGATTTATTAAAGACGTTTTCAGTCAGATTATTAAACTTATTCAAAATAGTAATATCTACAGCAGCGGTTCCCAAAGTGTGCGGCTTCCTCACAGGGCGCCACGAAATATTATAATTTTACTTCCACTTTCAATTCAATGTGATAAGATGAGACACCTAGCAGACCTGGTGCAAATCATTGACTCAGTAATGAAGGTGGCACATATAATCGCAAAATGTAAAAAGCCTCATACTATCGCAGAAAAACTCATTCTACCGGCTGCTGTAGATATGGTGAACATTATGATCGGTGAATGAAGCAGTTTTCAAACTTGCTTTTGTCCAATAACACCATCAGTCGCAGAATACAGCACATAGCGAAAGACCTCCAATGTTCAGTTAATTGAAAAAATAAAAGGGAAGGAATTTGAGTTGCAGCTGGATGAGGACAACGGATAATAATGATTTTCACTTGATTTATTATATACAGTTTATAGATAGTAATAACATTGTAGAAGACTTTCTCTTTTGTTAAAGTATCTGGTGCTAAGGCTCATGACTTGTTTGATATCCTTGATATTTTTATATCCGAAAATAATTTAGAATGGAACAAATGCATTGGTATCTCTACTGATGGTGCTCGTTCTATGTCCGGGTGTTATGGAGGATTACAAGCACTTTTTCGAAGCAAAAGACCCTGATGCACTGTGGACCCATTTCGTTATTCACAGAATAGCACTCGCATCAAAATATATGAGTCCTACATTGAACCAAGCTTTAGAATATGTAGTAAACTTTATAAAAACTCTTCTGTTAAAGACAAGTATTTTCAAAAACTTTGTGAGGATATGGAATCCCAGAACACACCACGAGAGAGCGATGGCTCTCTCGAGGTAATGTTTTGTCTCGTACGTTTGAACTGCGACAGGAAATTTATATTTTTCTTAAAGAGGAAGATCACAAGTATGCCGAAAATTTTGTGATTGAAGATTTTTTTGGTAAACTTATGTGATATTTTTGAAAAGCTGAATGCTCTGAATCTCTCCCTGCAGGGAAACAACATGCACTTTTTAAAATCGATTGAGAAAATTTCAGCTTTTATAAAAAGAATTAAAACTATGGAAAAGAAAAATAAATGAAGACGGAGGAAAGGATGTTTCCTCTTGTTGCAACAGTTTTTGACTTTCAATGGAATTGATTTCTATCGAGGTATGAACTATATTTTTGAAGAGCATTTATCACAGCTTATCACCTGGTTTGAGAAATAGTTTCAAAATGATATCATCGATAAATTTGCATAGATTCAAGATGCATTTAATGTCACTGCTCCATCTGAATTTACTGCTGCAGAAGACGAAAATCTTGTTATGTTATCTTGCGACAATATGTTGAAAACAAAATTTAGCAGCATGGAATTAATTGAATTTTGGATATCAGTAATAGAGGAATATTCCTTGAGTGGTAAAACTGAGAGAATCTTAATTGCATTTGCAACTACTTATTTGTGCGAAGCTGAGTTTGTCGCTGTGATAAAAATTAAGCATTGCACAAAAATCAATGTGGAGAAGGAAATGAGGATGGTTGTGTCCAGCTTGATTCCAAGATTAGAGAAAATGTGCAGTGATCATCAGGCTCATCCATCCCACTAATTATAATTAATTGAATTTGTTCAATTACATTTTTTTGTTATCTTAAATACATGTTTTATTTATTTTTTACTTAACGTCCTAACTCTTTAATTGGTACGCCAGTGGCCAAGCGGTATTTGTTCCCTGAACACTGGGAGTTCGGTCGTGAATTCGCCCCTCTCTCGGACGGGCTGGCCACGTAGAGTTTCCGGGTTTTCTCCACGTCTGTAATGTCTAAATAGGAGCCTGTTTCTCTTAAAAAGACCTCCCGGAAGGCATTCCCTAGACCAGGGATAGCGAACCTATGGCACGCGTGCCATAGATGGCACGAAAGAAAATTTTGATGGCACGCACAAAAAATATGATTTATTTTTATTAATCATAACAAAATTTTATTTTATAAATTATAAAAATGAGTTAAAATTCAACAATCCATACTTTAAAAATAATTTATAATTTAAATTTATAGTTCTGAATATCTACCAACTATAAAATATCATTTTGTGGTATGATCGATGCTCTCCTGTGGTCATGCGTATTAATTTGCTCCGTCATGAAAACAGACTGTATTGCCAATGAGCCTTTAGTCTTTGTAATTTCAAGCATTTGTAAGTATAATTTTAAAACTTGACACGTTAAATATAACTATTTACAACACTATGGTTTTATTTTAAGGTAATTATTGCATTTATACATATACAGGTAGCCCTCGGTTTACGCCGGTTCAATTTACGCCGCTGCGCAATTCGCCGTTTCGCGGTGTAAATCCCCTATTTTCCCTATGCTTTTCATTTCGGTGTTGTCGTATTTACCGAGCCGCGACATTGTACATTCGTTAAAACAAAGATTTTTATTGAATATATTTATTTTTTCTATTTAATATTATTGGGTATGTATACATTTGCATTAAATTAATATTAAAATACTAAACGTTTAGGTACCCACGAGTCAAGTTATTAAACTTAATAGTCCAATAAATGGCGTCCGAATCTATAACGCCATTGAAGGTATCCCGTATCAGTTCGTTCAGGAAAACATCTTACGACGCAGTAGCACTTCCGGAGATCACAAACTATCGTTAGTGAGACAAATCTACTTCTCGTTGGCCAGACGATACTTTTTTATTAGCCAGACGATATCTATCTCTCCTTAGCCACCTTGAATTTTCCCGCTCAAACTGACCTTATACATGTGCTACAGCAACCGGTGGTCGACCAATCAGTGTCTCCGCTCGTCTGTCGGGCTCTACGTCAAGTTAATGTATCCTTTCAACTATGAAAAGTTTGACAGATGAACTTTGTGAGTTAGACAATGATTGGGAGCGAAGTGCAAATGTAAAAAGGAGCATCATCGCATCCATTCGACCATATTCCGAAATTCTCAATGAAAAAAACAAAAATGTAAACAATTAAAGATGGATACTTTTTCCGAAAAATGTAAGAGATCTGAAACTAAAATCTTTTAATAAAAACATTTCACTTTATTTTATGATAAAATACATTTAAAAACTTAAATTTATTTGTATTATATTGTATTAATAAACAAAATTATTTACGTATTTTTCACTTATGTGGAACCTAACCCTATACCTCAGTGTAAATATGGGTTCGTTTTACGCCGATTCGATTTGCGCCGGCTTTTGTAGGAACGGAACTGCGGCGTAAACCGAGGGCTACCTGTATTTTAAATTTAAATATAATTTTTTAGATTATTGTTTTATAATTTTTTTATTATAGCTAGTTCAATGAAAAAATCGAAATTATCAGACACAGGTAGTAGCAGAGAATTTCCAATTTGGTGGACCGATAGGTACGGTATGATTAATAAGGACAGTAAAGCTATTTGCATTTTATTTTCAGGAACGGTGGTTTGTAGAACATCATCAGTAAAGCGATATTATGAAACCAACCGCAAATCTCTTTTCAATCGAAGTGAAAAAGAGCAAAAGGAGTAGGCCTATATATCACGTGTTTTCAAAAATAAAAATGAACAAGCTACGTCATTAATGAAATATATTGGAACTCAATCAAACACTACTGCTGCTAGTTATCAAGCGTCAAAAGCTATTGCTCAATACAGGAAAACTTTTAATAACGGTCATTTTTTAAAGGAAGCTTGGTTGCAATGTGCGCTCTACTTATTCGAAGATTTCGAAAATAAAGAAAAAATTATCCAGAGAATTAAAGATATACCATTAGCTAAGAATACGCTGAAAGAGAGAATTTTGGAATGGCGGAAAATGTAAGCTTTCACAAAGCTTTCAACCACAAATAGAATTGTTTAATGGAAATTTTTTTTTGTTTATTAAATTATAATTTTTTTCTCGAGAATGAAAGGAAAAGAAAAAACATAAAATAAAAAATAAAAAAGCAAAAAAGAGAAAAATACAAGAATCATAATTTATGCTAGACAATTTCAGTGTGGCACGTTAGTAATTCCATAAAGATTATTTATAAATTTATGGCACGGACAATGAAAAAGGTTCGCCATCCCTGCCCTAGACAGATCGCCCAAGTGTTGCGTTACCATAACTTAACAAACAACTCTTTAATTAAAAAAAAATGGCTATTTCTCCATTTCGCAAATTGTAGGCCTATATGTTACCTACAGTAACATATAATCATTACAATTTAACATAATCGCTGTAGAGGAAATTTCTGTAAACTTTGATGTTAGAAACAACAATGTAACGAAACGATGATGTCATCTATGTTTATATCGAAATATGTTTTAAATTATTATCATGTTACTGAACGCCGTTTAGTAAAATCGGCGTTTTATAAAAAGTTTTAATTAATTGGCATAAATTTAAACTTTTGTAATTCTGAGTAACGTTTCGAATAAAATTCATTTGTTTCCATGCAATTTTCTTCTTATAAGCATAAAATAAAGCCGTAAAACTGAATTAGCTCTATGGGAAACCCCGTGAACTTTTGACCTATCGACCCGAAAGTTTGGCTAGTACCTCATTGATAACGAGAAAGGATTAAGTTTAAAATTGAGCTTTCTAGACCCAGTAGTTTTTTCTCTACGAGCGTCTGCAGTGTCGGATGAAGAAAAATAAGAAGAAAATAAAACTTTTTGGAGATTTTTACAGTTTTTAATTACTTATATTTCGACAACTGCTTTATACAAAATCTTGAAATTTTGCGTACTAAATAAGAAAACAATTTTCCTTCGAACGACACGAGATATTCGAAATTACTATAGGTGTTTGGGGGACAGAGAAATCGGCAACTCTGATTCCTGTATATGTAGTCAGTCGGTGACTTTTTTACTTGCCAGGGACTCCTGATATCAGACACTAGATTATTGGATCAAATTTCATTTGTTATTATTAAATAAAGAACGTCCTTAATATATGTCATACTTAAGTTCCTAAAATGCATCGTGAACAAAATGGTGTACATCGAATATCAATTTCTTACTGAAATAATATATTATGTGAGAGATATGGTACATTCCTTACCAACTAAAAACAATTTATTTGGTGTACAATAATAAACTGTTTATATGGAAGTGTCGCTACTTGTTATACTTTCAACACCTAGTATAACAAGGTGACGGCCGGATGTTTGAGCGGTTAAGACTTCAGTCTACCACTCTGAGATCGAATTCGGGCTGTTGAAGAACCCAGGGCGATCTTACCTAATGTGTCAAGTCCCGTCTCATACAGTCCGGCAGCCCACATTGTGGATCTTCAGAAACTAAGGATGGGTAAGATTAAAACAGTCCTCCATAAACAAAACAAAACAAAAATTACCATTTGCCATGTTGCAAGTGTGATGAAATATACGATGAGCACGAAGATCTTTAATGATCTTAGGTAAGAGTTAGCAATACTGAAATACGAGCAAGATTTGTGCGCAGATAATTTCTTCCCATCCTAAATTTCCAGAGATTTAACAGAAAAATTCATCACAAAACGATTATTGATGCTAATGTCTAAAATTCCATTTAATCCATGCGACTTGTGATTACCAGAGCCCCTTCGGCCGCCAATTTAAAGCGTTTTAATCTTTAAAATTGGCGTTTCCACTTCCCAGGACGAGGACCCAGGAGTTGGATTTGTGGGAAGCGAGTGTTCGGGTTGTTTCGTTGTGTCGAATTACATAGAACGAGGCGCTTGACGTATAAGTGCGTAAGTGCGAGAATTCGATTAAAGGTTAAACGGTGTATATCTTCATGTACAGTGGTATTATGTCCGTGTGTGTGTGTGCGATCCAAGAACATCTTCGGCATGTCTAAAAACAGAAAAACAGTAAATTACGATACGAGAATATGATTTGTAAAAAAAATGAAACGAAAGAGTTCTTACCATCGGAGATTGCGGAAAATATTCACTTGTATGATGATGAATGGCCACGTCGTCCACTTCGAGGCAAAATTGGGAGGGAGAAGAATCTTCCTCCCGAATGTTCCTACAAAACACAAAGACAGTGAGAAAAGAAGTTGATTCATTTATTATATAAGGTCATCATTATTAGACTTTCTTCCCGAATAGTGTTATGAGAAGACCCGACCTAGCCTAACTTAACCGGAAGCTCAATCCTCATAACAGCTGTTTGGGAAAAGGGGTCGGCCGAATGGCGTCCGGTCAGTAAACGTGTCACGTCCGGGTGTCGGATGAAGAAAAATGAGAAGAAAATATAGCTTCTTGGAGATTTTTGCACTTTTTAATTACTTATATTTCGACAACTGCTTTATACAAAATCTTGAAATTTTGCTTACTAAATAAGAAAACAATTTTCCTTCGAACGACACGAGATATTCGAAATTACTATAGGTTGACAATCGGGAAGTCAAATCCGTTGTCGTCGACTGAGTGTCACTTTCGGGAGGCAAGTCCGCGGGTAATGTCCAAGGAAAGGTGTCGAGTCCGGGTGAAAAGTGTCTAATCAGGTAAGAGTGTCGCATCCGGATGAAGAAGGAAAAAATCGAAGAGGATCACCGCCTAGGCCAAGGGAACCGCAGACACCACGGTCCCGAGACTCGGGCGGCTTTCTCCTCCGATTCCACCTCGTTCCGACTTCCGCAAGGCAGTGGCGTCCCCGTGGCAGACGAAGAGGCAGAACACGACCAACCAGAAAATGTCAACTCGGACGAGCCGTCACTTTCTTCATCTTCCACAGCAAGGTCTGTGGCCGGATGACCCCCGAAGACCTTGGCCAAGTGCGACGGTGCAAGAGTGTAGCGTCGCATAATCCCGACTCCGGGAGGATGCCACGCCATGCGCACTTGGGGACGGTCTTCTTCGCCCGCTGCCTCTCGCTCGACCCTCCGCTCCTCCGATATCTCTTCGGGCGCGGTACGAGTCCTATAGACTCGTTCTGCGTCGGCGCCTTCTTCGGCCGGAACCGCCTCCAAAACTGCTCCAACGTCTTCATTCTGTAAAAAAGAAAATTTGCAATTAGTCCAGTGAAAACAAACGCTTAAAGAGAAAGGCAAAATGCTCACTGCAGCTGCCTTTTTAAATCTAAATCTTTGGAATCGAAAACGAAAACGACCAACCATCGAACGATGGGCCGAGATGTCTTCTGGCAATATTAAATAAATTCTTACGTCTAGGGTCAATATGGACTAAGACTTACCTGAAAAAATATTTAATCTTCTTTCGAAAAGTCCGCAAACAACAAAAAATAGCACACAATTCACGAGCGCAAGAAAAACACGTCCGACTCCGAGAGAAACACGATCGAACTGCGAATCGTCATGTGTGACGTATTTCGAACAAACTTAAAAGACGTGTCAACGATGTTCGAATTACGGTAAAAATTGGAATTAAAAAAATCAATTTTATTTTTTTAATGAATTAATTTATATATATTTTTTAAAATTTTGTTTCAATCATTTTCTTGTGTTCGGAATTTGATAATCAGGCTAAATTATTTTCTGCATTTACATGGTGCAGAATGTTTACCGTGGAGAGAGGTAAAAGACGATCTTCTTAAATTCTACGTCTTGAGGCTTTGACGATGTCCGAAAATTGCACGAAATTAGTTCGAATAAATACCTTTTCGTCCATTTTCGGCCATCGCATGAAATAAATCAAATTCTTAAGATTTCGATTTATTTCACTCAATATTATTTCGCTTTTCGGTAAGATTCTTCGGTCACCGTCGGGGTTGCACGTTTCGCGTATTAATTAATGCGATCATCGGCCATCTTGAAATTTTAGAACAACTTACTCTATGTCGTATATAAGGACACATATTAACTTAATCGTTAAAGAGAAAAAAATGCATTAGGGCTAATGATATTAAACGAATTAAAAATAGGCCTACTGTAGATTTATAATATACAGTGGAAAGTGAAGGATATCGCATTGTCCCAAATTTACTGTATCTCTTGAAATCAATAATCAAATATTTACGGGCTGATGTAATTCTAAACAAATGACAAAACGCATAGCTGCATAGAATACATTAGTTGCATTTGGTTATGTTCACAATTCAACTAATATTTTGAATTTTTTTTTTTGCGTGGATATTTTTAATAATAACATCAAAAATTTTAAACAAGTTAAAGATTTTCAAAGTCAATCAGACAACATTTCGATTAAATATGCTGAAAAAATACATGAAAATAACGTAATGAACACCGATGTAAAAAGCAAAACACCCTATTGTGCTATTAAACGAACTTCGTTCAGATTTGAAATTTAATTTAATAAAAGAAAAGAAATCAGTTTCTTTTAGAGAGGTTCACAATTAGCTTTGAAGACATCATATTTGAAGGCTCTGATTGAACCAAAAATTTAGCCAAAGTTGCAGGTGCAAGATCAGCTTTGTACACTTTCTCTGCTATTAATCTTTTGAAAAGTAATATGAATAATGGATCTTTACCTGAAGGAATATTTACTCCCTCAATTAGTAGCAAACAGAATATATACTGGTATTCATAAAACGTTTTAAAAAGTAATGTTTAACTATGAAAATTACACAAAATGGAAAGTACTAGCTGGAATTGTCATGATATGTGATTCAAAAATGGATAAAATGAAAATTATTAGTATATGCACTAGCACAAAGGGCAATATTGAGAAAAAAATATAAGTATGGATGTACAGTACTGTAGCCTACATAAGAATAAAATAGTTTTAAAAAATTGATATTTATGTAACTTCCAACTCTAGGTCCAAAGTAAAAATAATTAAAAAACAATTTTTTAACGAAATTCTTTGAGATAAATATTTGTGTGTGTGTGTGTGTGTGTGTGTTATTAATCATAATTTCATCGAATAATATTAGACCGAAAGATCTTTGAAGAAGTGACAAAGGTTATTGCTTTTAAAATAATTAAATGACCTCATTTTACGAGTAATCATTTTTATTAGTAATTTTATATAAATCTGAATAATACAGTATAATGAAGATAATTGTAACAATTATTAAGGATGAAAACAAATAAAGAATGCCGGGAAAGTCAGGCAACAACGTCGGAACTAATAGCGTGAAGCGCGATCTCGATGCTAATGTATACATGACATAGTCTGTATTAACTTCCTTTAAATAAATTAAAAAAATAAATTTTAAAAGCTGTAATGGAACCAAATTAGGAAAATACAACAAATGTTACAAATCAGAAAATGATTAACTCAGTTTGGCAATTAATGTCAGAAAAAATAGTTTCACAACTTTCTAATACAGTATGTAACATTTGTGATGAAACTGTTCTTCAATCGTGTAGATTTATAATATACAGTGGAAAGTGAAGGATATCGCATTGTCCCAAATTTACTGTAGGCCTATCGTTGAGCTGTTATGTTGTAATGAATTTTTCTTTTTTATTACCATTCTACGTGCAGAAGTTGTTTACTATTTCACCACAGCTCTAAAATGTGTCGATTTTTTTGCAAAAGAATGTATATTTGCTTTATACAATATCCTTTAGTCGATAGATTACAGGATATTGTATAAAGCAATTGTACATTCTTTTGCAAAAAAATCCTTATAATAGCACGATTTGCATTTTGGAATTTTCCCGTTAAATCGTTATAATCTATTCGCGAATTTAATTGTTTATTTCTTCCTTTCAGGATAAGGAACATTTATACAAATATTTAAAATTATACACATTAATGAGCTCTGTATGTGTTTTTTACATATATAAATTTGCAAGAAAGATTATTTATGACGTAACTTAAAATTTTATTTTTTATTTTTACAAATTCTGATTATATATTAAAAGTATACTATTGAAATGTGAAAGAATTCGTGACAGTCCGTTTAAATTTCGATATTAGTTTCTCTAGGTGCTCCTAAATAACGCTACTTGCGGTTGCAAATTAAAATTTTGCAAGTGATAAGTGGTAGTAATTACCATCACATTGCCAGTTATCGGACTTTCGTCTCATTTCATTTCTAGGATTTCTTCAAATTATCGTTGGGACTTATCGTTAGAAATCTATAACTTTTTACCAGCACTATTAAATTAGTACATAGCAAGTATAAAGCAAAAATTACGGACCGTTTTCTGTCCGTCTACCATAGAGTAAATATTCTTTTCTTTAAAAGTATTTGTGCGTGGCGGAGTTTTAGATTTCGAATAAAGATATTCAAAGAAATTAAATGAATATTCTTTAATTAGAATAAATGTAAAGAAGCTAATTCAAAAATAGAATGATCGGGTGCAATGGCCCACTCAGGAGGAGGAGGGGAGCCGAGTTAAACAGAAAAAAATTTTTAATGCGAATTCGATAAATTTCTGTTTATACTGTATATTGTCCATTTGGACTTTGTTTATTAATAGAACTTTTTATATTGGTGTAGTTTCTGATTAGCAAAGAGAAGAGATCTTACATTTGTTTACGCAAACGTAAGAATATACTAACTATTGTACAATACATATTGTAGCAATGTCCATGAAATTAGGTTTGTTTCAATAGATTGTTGTCAAAGTTGCATATTTATGCAACTTGAACGTTAATGAAAATCACAGAATATAATTACATTTTATTTCAAGTAAAACCTTTACTAATTAAAAGTGAGTATTTGAAGACGAGGATAAAAAATATGCACTGTTACTATTTAAACACTTAATAAAGCGAAAAAAAAATTTAATGATCTAACTGCAGTATTTCATTGTAAAATATGTTTGTTTTGTTTCTAACAACACTAAATATAAGAAGTGAAAACAAAATCTGTAGAAAACTACCGAAAAGGGGCTTTCAGTCAACATTTTCATTTTCAATGAGAAAATAGACAGATGTTCAGATGTTTTACTTAGAACATACAGTACTTACTTTATGCACATAATTGAGCTGCAATTTTCAAAAATCGTTGACCTATAAATTCCCCTGGTCTCTGTCCTTCCTTAATCTCGAGAACGGAGTTAGATAGATGAAAGTCGAGACCAGATATGGAAGGATGAGGAGCCTTCCATATCTGATCTCGAGTTATCTATATACGGAAGTCACGTTATTTCAATTCAAAAATTTTCTCCTGAACGTTAGCTCCGTTAGACCGGCATGACTCCGTTGTTAACAGGAAAAGTATGATGTACAAGAGCAAAACACGACTAAAATTGAGAGCATTGTGACGATGTTACAATAAATAGGGCCATTATTTATATAGGGCCGGATTTGATTCTGGGAACCTCAGAACGGTAGGCTGATTTGTCATTCGAAAAATATATAATTCAAATGAAAAGTTTTGAAATGTTTGTAGATTTATTAGTAATATTGGAATTGAAACCAATATCCAACTTGGTTAATTACTTCCAAGTACTGTAATTGATGTTAAACACAATTCAATTTTTTAATTGAAAGAAGTTGAACTTAATAAAAAAAATTAATATAAAGTACTAAGTTTTAACAGTTTCTACTTTACAATTATAATAATTACTTCGCCAAATTCTCCAAATATTGATAAGCGATCTTAGTCGCTCTACTTTTATTTTTTCGGATAATTTTTATAATCAAATAGGATACGTTAAAAACATATATAGATATCAATTATAAGTTTTTATAGTTTCATTGAAAATAAATAAAATAACAATATATATTAACAATGAAATACCTGAGTAACAATTATATTTCTGCAAGGAATCATGGCTTCTATAGAGAATCTTTATTGGAAATGTCTTGATTATATTCGAGAGAATTTATTTCAAATATTAACAATCTATGAATCGAAAAATGTGAATTTGAAAGCTTTATTTGCTGGATTTCGTAAGTTTATTTCTTATAATTAACGTTTTTGCTATAATATAATAATAATAGTATAATCTGTGAATGAATGTAGCTCCAACTGTATGCGAATCTTTATTGAGGTATATGGCACCGGATGTACAACCTGAGATTATTTGTTATTTTTTTAGAACTGGAACGAAAATAGTGGATCTATTTTCTTATCAACACAATATTCCATTACAAGGAATCAATGAAATTTGTGAGGTAATTTTATATTTAATTCATTAGTTTCAGAAAATTTGAACTTTTACGAGAAAACTTGTCCAGTTAAATAATCAATCTCAAAAAGTATTTGAAATAATTTTCGAGAAACCAAATATAAATATTTTAAAAATAAATAAATTAGAATTATTTTATTACACAATTGAAAATCAGTAATAAAATTTTTATGGAATGCACGCAATTAGGGTACTTTTCATGTATTATGTATTAATGTAATTGGCATAAAATTACAATTAATAACTTCCATTAGTTTTCAAATAGATTAGGCAGAAAGAAATTTCATAGATCATCACAAACAACCTTTGTAA